ATCTGTTGAAATACTACTAGGTTTTCAGAGGCCAGAACCAGCCTCCCTTCCCTCTTCAGTGGTAAGTGATGTCCTTGCTTGGAAAGTCTGGCAGGCAGCAGGGTCTGTTCACTAGCTAAATCGTTGCTTTACTTCTCATTCTGTGGGCCTTTGGCCACCCACCACAACTGCCAACAAAATTGCTGGGGTTCAACAGGAAGTGTTTTATATAGCTTTTCCCTGTGTTCCTACACTTGTCCTAGCATCTGACATAGTGGGTAGCATTTGATTCTTTTTTTTTTTTTTTTTTTTTTTTTTTTGGCTAGAAGTTTCTTGGGAATGAGGCAAAATTAGATAACAGATGCTAACCAACTTCCTTCCTTCTTTCCTAGTGGACAGTTCAGCTAAGGTGGGATTATTTGACTGATATAATTCTTGAAATCACTCCTACCCTGTAAACAACTGTGTCAAATACTGACCAGAAGTAGTTAATAAGAAGTGGGATTGGTTAAAAGTGGTTTAAAATAAGGTTTGTGCTTAATCATTATACTTTTCTCTATACCAGATCACAGAGATCAAGATCGACGAGATAAAAAGAGTGTAAATAGACCCAGTGAGGGGCTAGCTAGCTCAAAAACACTAGTTCCTAGTTGTTCTAGAACATTCACATATTATACACTCAGCTTGATGTGCTTTTTAAAAGGATTTTAATTTTAGCTAGGTATGGTAGTGCACACCTTTAATCTCAGCACTCAGGAGGCAGAGGCAGGCAACAATCTGTGAGACTGAGGTCAGTCTGGCCTACCTAGTGATTTCCAGGCCATCTTGGGGCTACAGAGAGACCCTATCTAAAAAAACACACAGAAAAGTTAATTTAAATTATATGTATATGTGTGCAACTGTGCATGGATATGTTGCATGTGCGTATAGTACCTACAGAGGCCGGAAGGGGGTGTCAGATCCCCTGAAACTGGAGTTGCAGGTGGTTGTAAGCCATCTGCTATGGGTACTGGGAACTGAACTTGGGTCCTCTGCAAGAGCAGCAAGCCTTCTTAACTGCCGAGCTGTCTCTCTGGCCCTTGATGTACCTTTTGATGAGTTGTTTCTCCCATATCTAAGAGTTCGATGATCTGTGGCCGACATATGATGCGAGTATTTGCCAATTTCTGCTCCGTGGTGAGGGACATCTCCTTCAGGAACTCCGAGGGTGTCAGCTAGAATTCAAACAAGAGCCCCAATTCAAACGTGGTTCTACTGAAGATGAGTTTTCCTAAGTACCAGTGGTGAATAATTTGTGCTTGCAGCTTTCAGGATAATTCCGGAGCCACTAAGTTCCCTTATAAAATATTGAAAATAACTAAATTATACAAGAGAAGTCCCGTGCACTTCTGAGGTCTTTGCACAGTAATTGGAAGTGACATGTGCTAGCCCATCCCTTAGACTTTTGAAGGAATCACACAATAGAACACTAGAGAGAAAAAAAAAGTCAAGAAAGTACATAGGAATCTGTTTAAAGAGCTTAACATTTTATGCTCAGAAGAGCCATCTGAGCATAGAACTGCAAAAATCTCTTCCAGGCTTCAGAACTGAGGAGCTGGCAATAGTTCTGTTTCTCAACTGATATAGCATGCATGCAGAACTTTGGGGTGTTTACCTATCAGATTACATCATGTTACCAGGAAATCTCAAGTACAAAGGATCTGGAAGTGTGATTCTGCTACTCCGAAATGAGTTTGAACTTTTGAGAAGTCATAGAGCACATTTAAATGTTGTTCAACAGGAACTATAAGCTCGTCAGACTGCATTCACACACCCAGATAAGAATACGAAATGCTTTAATACTTTGCACTTCTATGAGAAAAAAAAATAGAAGAAATTTATCATCAAAATAAAACCAGCCCAGCAAAGGACGAGTTACCCTCAACTAATCACTATTATGTTGCTGCTGCTGTTCTAGAAAGTTCATGCTGTTCCAGGCCTACTTTCTATTCAAGCAGAGTATGTCGTTGGGAGAATATATGCCGAGTCAGTTTCTAGCAGCTAGAGGTATTTAGCTGATTTATTTTCTCTGGGTTGAAGTTGTTAACTCTTCAAGATCGTTTGTTTTCCTGAAAATTTGATTCTCTCTGATTGAATCTTGTTAAATGAAGATGTATTTCCAAAATAGCTTTCAACTCCATTTTTAAGTTCTTTTTGATTGGAACACAGATTAGAGTAACAGAGTGTTAAGAGGTATCCACAGTATTGGGATTTAAATTAAAATAATGAAGCCTTAAAAACAAAAAAATCAAGACTTCGTGTAAATGTGTACCAGTAGCTATCACTAAAGGAACAACTGATTTCATTTCTCTAAATAGAATGCAACTTGAAATTAGATTCTAAAAATGTAGCAAATACTATTGCCAGCACTATATATTTTTATATTTTTCTATAGCGTGGTTCATAACTCAGCTCTTAGCCCATGATCATTATAACTCATTAAAGCTATACACATTTCTATTTTAAAAGACAGAAAAATATGTTTTTCCCCAGATACCATCTAGTTCTGTATCTCATAAATTATAAAAAAAATTGTCAATGTACAAATAACAGATTATTAGGTTGAGCCCTGTGAAACTCTGGAATTTGAGGGTTTTTTACTTTAATTTAAAAACTTTTTTTAGAATTTTATAAATAAGTATTTTATTTATTTCCACCCCTCCCCCCCACTCAGTTCCTCCTGTTTCCCTCCCCTTCTGTGTCCCATGGCCCAACACACTGCCTCTCAAATTCATGACCTCTTCTATAATTATCGCTGTAATTTTATACACAACCTACTGAGTCCATTTAGTATTGCCCACAAATTCATGTGTTTAGGCCTGACCACTGGGATTGGATAACCTACCAGGGGGCTCAAAAATCTAGTATGTGATTTTACTGAAGTACATGAATGATGATTTCACATGGCTCTGCTTAACATTTAGAAAATTTTAGTAGTTTTTTCACATGGTTCCATGATTTGGGTGTTTCTCCCCAAATTCATATGTTGGCGCTCTTATGAATGAATGAATGTTTCTCCTGGCATTTAGCTCTCTCCTCTCCACATATAAGTGCTTGCTTTTCCATTTCCCTGCTGTGCCAAACTGCATCATGGGACCTTAGCAGATGGAGCCACGCAGTCCTGGATTCTTTAGGCTCCAAAACCATAAGCCAAAACAAACCTCTTTTCTTCATAAATCATCTAGTTTCTGGTATTCAGTTATAGGAACAGAAAATGGACCAAGATATAAAATCTTACGCCAGTTGATTAATCAACCCAACCCTGTACCTTGAAGACCATATGCAATTTTAAAACTTCCTTGGCTTTGAAAGGTGCTTAGGCTCTGCAACATGCTACTGACTGGTATGATATTAATCATGGAGTCTCTGTTATTCTGAGAATACAAAATGGCAGCTGTCATTGTCCTGGGGAGACTGTATTAAGTATTTCACATAGAAATTCTGATACATTACCATTCGGGTTACTTCCTCTTCTGTAACCACCTTTGGACTCCTGGGTGGCAAAACTTTGCTCTGTAATCCTTTAAACACTCTGACTAGCCCCATCTGCACACCCCCCATGGACTCCTCAAGTCTTTTACTTGTCATTTTTAGATATTTTCTTTGTTCTCCTAAGGGTAGGAAGAGAGAAAAAAAAGACTATTTAGAGTGATAACAGTTAATTCCTACATATAATTAATATATTTTATAGCTTTTTCAAATGTATGAATTTAGAATATAATGCTTTTTCAAAAATATGTCAAATGCTTAGAACAAACATCTTAAATAGGATTTTTATTCCATGTGACTAAATTTATTGTCTTTTAAATTTTTATTTATGAGTGTTTTGCCTGTAAGTATGTAGATGTACAACATAGATTCCTGAGAAGGCCCACTAGGATGATCAATTCTGAGTCATTCCTCAACAGAACTATTAGACTTTCAGTTTCTTTCTGGTTCTTCATATCCCTTGGGCAAAAAGGTAAAATAACTTACAAGGTCAAGAGAATTCTGTCACTAGACTTTCTTAAAACAACTTATCAAATAGGACAACAGCAAGAAATCATTGTCCACAGTTTTATTTTTAGTTTGAATGCACTTTTTAGACAGCCTACATGACACGCATTTTTTTTAAATCAAAACAAAAACAATTCCATTCCAAATACATCACAAAGTAAGTGAAGAGCTCCAAACAGCATCAGTGTCATTGTCTTAAGTGCTGGCATTGTGTGGATGACAAGCAGCAGCCAGTTCCAAAGACAAATGATAAATCCAAAGTAATTGCCCAGTTTGTTAGCATTTTTCCATCTCAGAGCCACTCTTAACAGAAATCATAGATGAGGTCACAGCATCTTCCTGGTAGTCCAGGAGAACGGCCATGCTGTCTGGATTCATTTTTTTTCACCCATAAAAATTTGGTACTTATTGCAATCAGCAAATACATGCTTGATGTGCTCCACAGCCTGTCATAAAAGGTTTTGCTCTTTGAGTGAGTTCATGTAATCTTTATGTATTTCTTTTGTGTAGCTGGTTTCCTTTAACTGATGGTTCATAACAATGTCAACACCAGCAATTACTGTGCTTTTGGTGCCTTCTCTCTCAGACCTTGAGCCATGACATCTCCTCCAGGGGTAAGCCATCCAAGCTTCCTTCTGTTCTACAAACCATCTTTACCTCCAGGTGTCGCCAGCCTGTGAGCTCCTGGATCCTGTAAATGTCAGAGAACAGCTCTTCATGGCTGATGAGGTACTGGTAGCACATCAGGATAGAGAATGGAGGAAGATGGAGGTGGAGCAAGAATACGAGGAACTCAGAGCTCAGAGCAAAAGCTACGCAGCTGGAGCGGTGTTCCAGGGAAAGGCAAGAGCCCAAGGAAGTCCCACCTTTTTAAAGTGTAAGCAAAAAATTGTATATCCAGCAAGCTCTCCTTCAGCTTTTGAGGCTCCAGAAAATGATTTGGGCATGGAAAAACCCAGGGAAGATTGCAAACAAGGTCCCCTTTTGAGGAATCTTCTAGACAACAGGCTTAATCCACCGAAAGAAGCTGAGAATTTCAGTCAAAAGACTGACAATAGACATTTTTGTGTTTAGTTGTTCGGCCAAAATTAAAACGAAGTTGAGGTCAAACATTAAAATGAAGTGAAATACTCAAACATTATATTTTCTGAGAAAGTAAATATTCCCTAATAATCAAAAGATTTTATTTTATTTTTATTTTTATCTGTGTGTATGTATGTGGCTGTATTTACATGCTCATGTGCCTGCTGAAGCCAGAAGATGCCATGGATGGCACCTGGATCACAAAGGCAATAAAACTAACAGTAAGAACAAACGAAACTTTTGTGCAAGGTGAAAGATACAGGTCTAATTTCATTCTTCTACAGGTAGAGATCCATTTTTGCCAGAATCATTTGCTGAAGATGCTCTTTCCTCCAGTGAGTGTCCTGGGTCCCTTTGTCAAATATCAGATGGCTGAAATTTCATGTAATTATGTTTGGGTCTTCAATTATGTTCCATTGATCTATGGGTCTATTCTTGTGCCAGTACCATGCTTTATTTATTTATTTATTTATTTATTTATTTATTTATTTATTTTTCTTTTTGAGACAGGGTCTCCCTGTAGCCCCAGCTGGCCCCGGACTTACTATGTAGACCAGGCTGGCCTCGAATTCACAGAGATTTGCCTGTCTCTGCCTCCTGAGTGCTGAGATTAAAGGCATGTGCCACCACACCTGGCCCATGCTATTTTTATGACTACAGCTCTGTAATACAGATTGAAATCTGGTATAGTAATCCCCTCAGCATTGCTCTTTATGCTCAGGGTTGCTTTGGTGATCCAGGGTCTTTTGTGCTTCCATATGAATTTCAGGATGGATTTTTCTAATTCTGTGAACAATGTCATGGGGATTTTAATTGGCATTGCATTCCAGTGGAAGGCAGGGGGTGCTATGGGAGGGTGCCAGAGGGGAAGGGGATATAAAGATGATTAAGACTGATTGAGTTGTTCTGTATTGAAATATATAAAAATTCAATAAGCAAAACAAAGAACCAACAAAACCTAGAAATTTTTGAAAATTTAAAAACCTTCTATTATGAGTCAGGTGTGGTGGTTCACACCTATAGTTCCATCATTGAGAAGTTAAGGCAAGAAGATTACCACAAGTTTGAAGCCAGTCTAGTTACACAGTGAACTCCAGGCCAGCCTGGGCTACAGAGTGAGACCCTGTCACAAAATAATAAAACAAAAATCAAATAAAAACCCTCTTATTAATGAACAGCAAGCATTAAAACTAAGGAAGAAAGAAACTATCATTTCTGGGCTGGAGAGATGGCTCTGCAGTTGAGAACACTGGTTATTCTTGCAGAAGACCTGGGTTTGAATCCCAGCACCCACATGGCAGCTAACAACTGTCCGTAACTCCAGTTCCAGGGGATCCAACAGCCTCTTCTGTCCTCTGCAGGCACTGCATGACATGGGTGCACTTACCTACATGCAGGCAATAGACACATACACATAAAAATAATTTTTAAAAAAGAGACTATCATTTCTGCCTATATGATTATAGTAACAGAGAGCTAAAAATGTGATAGCATGAAATTATACGTATGTTTCAAAAAAACCAAGCATACATACTTTATATTATTAGTAATATGACCAATAGTACATATGCACATATAGTCTGGGTTTTTATGTGTATGAATGTACATTTGACCCAGCAGTCCTATTCTGGAAATTTATTAAAATGATATATTGGATAAAATATGAAATGGTGACACAAAATAGACTCTACAGACCTTATAATATATGTAATAGAGTACATTAAATTGTGTGTTAGGGCAATAAGGGGAAGTACAGATAGGGGGATCTAAATACCATTAAATTATATGGCATGAAAATCACAAAAGTTCAATTAAAAATATGAAATAATACACAGACCAATGAGCCTGGTTACCTATAATGAAAGTCAAGAAACAGGGTAGAGGAGACAGAGTAAAAGAAAAGACTGTACCTCATTCCAATGGCAACTTCTGAACCATATAAAATGTTTTACATATAAAAGAGAATCAAGAGAAGGAAAAAAATCAATTCTTAAAACTTGAAAACAAACCAAAACAAATGAACCTTGCTGTATATCAAGCTGGTGTTATAAACAAAAGAAAAGAGAAAATTATTTCAACTGACCTTATAATAAATTGTATTTGGGTTGTCATATTCTCAATGGTATTTTCTGGGAAAACACAGAGTGCCACACAGAAATATTACCATTTATTCAATGGTTACTTATTCGTAATGATATTAGTAATAATATCTAAGTAAGAGATTAATAATATCTACCTGTTTATATCAGTATTGTAAGGAACCAAGTGTATTAAAAGTTGTATTAGTTTCTGTTCTGCAGCTGTGATAAATACCATGATCAAAAGCAAGTTAAGGAAGAAAGGGTTTGTTCTGGCTTATAGTTCCAGGGAAATAGAGCTGGTCATGGAGGGAAGGCAAGGTATGGTGGCAGGAGCCCGAAGCTGAGAGATCACATTCATCCACACACAGGAAGCAGAGAGAGAGAGAGAGATCAGGAAGTGAGGTCAAGTTGTAAACCCTCAAAGCTCACCCTCAGTGACCTACTTCCTCCAGGAAGGCGCCACCTCCTAAAGGTTCCATAACCTCTCCAAACAGCACCACCAACTGGGGACCAAGTGTTCAAACACATGAGCTTATGGGGGACATTTTATTCAAACCACCACAGAAGCCCTGTAATCTATTTTCATTAAAAAAAAAAAAAAAAAGATCCAGAGGATCAGTTTCAGGGCCATGTGCAAACTAATGGGATTTCCCCTTTTTAAATAAACTGACCACTGAAAATTCCCAAAAGCAATGAAAGCACATTAGAAATGACCATCGAGGGACCTAGACTGTGATCTTGAAATACCATTTACCAATAAAAGGAACTACAACTCCTTGAAGAAATGGTTCATTTTGAGGTGAAGACACAAAATGGATTAGATGAACATAGAGCATTTTATCACACTACAAAACAAGGAAATCATCAAAGGCTATCAGGACTGTGATGACTCAGAGCAACTTGAGGGGAAAGTACTCCCATTCACTAAAGACAGGACAATATGAGTATTAAAGTTTGTCTGGGCTGGGAATGCAGCTTACTGATAAATGATAAAGCATTTATCTAGCATATATAAGGCTCTGGTTTTGATTCCCACCACTGGAAGAAAAAAAGAAAAAAAATGTAATGAATTAGATAGTTTTTTTTTTTTAATTGAGCTGGTCACTTTCAGAGGTTCCCACCAAAGTAATTACTTTGGGAATCAAGAAAGAAAATAAAATAATAAACCATTTATTCTGAACTTTTTCTGTACAGATTCTGTTGAGGGCTGACCAAATAGCTGATGAAGGAAAATCATTTTTCCTAAAAGAATTCCAGCTTATAAGCACAGAAGAAAAAAAAAGAATAATAACCACAACCTTGAAGCCCCTAATAAGACAAAGGATCGTCAATGCTAAAGCAATTAGGGAAGATGCAGTTAAAGAACTGTATAATGGCTCAATCAGACTAACCACACCTGAGCCCTCTAAATCAAACTTAACACTTGGA